AAAAAGTTCGGTAGTATAAATGCTACAAACAGGTGGTAATTTAATTTCAATGATTGGTTTGTATTTTGTATAAGTACACCACAACTAACACCTTGTTATTACCTGTTTATGATGTTTCATCAGATACTTTATACTATTTGCTTGAAACAGAAAATCGCCGATCTCAATATGGATTGTGTAGTAGGTAAATATGATAAGTGCATTTGTTTCTCATATTTCATCTATAACAGGTAACATTGTAATTACAGGATAAGTTTTAGCAGCTACAGGTATAAGTATAAAACACCATATCCAAAATAAGAAAAGAAGGTAGAGAAGTCAATAAAAATGAGAGCGACTAGTTCATCTTTTACAAGTCCAAAAGGAAATCGTTCTCGTGACAAAAAAAAATTAAATTGACCAAGGAGAAGAGGAAATCATCAAAAATGTTTTACTATGACTTTTACACCATCGAGAAAAGATCACCTACAATTAATTTTGTTACAAAAAGATCACCTACAAAAATTTTGTTACCGTAAATAAAATAGAATCAGTAAAATTATAAAACAATTGTTTGTTTGTACCCATTTAGAACGAAATGAGAGTTTTCTAGTAAAAACACTGATATAGATACATTTTTAACAAAAACGGTAAATACAATTCCTTTACAATTTTACTTACTTAGTAAACAAGATTTACTTTCCAAATATTTTAACTATTTTTATTTATTTAAGGTATTTATCAAAAACTACCTAAAAACTAACTAAGGAACAAAGAAATGGGATTTCCAGGATCAAAGGAATCATTAAGGAAAACCATAATTGGATTAGGCTTTAGGTAACACAGTAAAATAATTATTTAGTTGAACAAATAAAACTGTATAATGGGTAATGTATTTTCAATTGATATTTTATTAACATCGTTTTAGTTAAACTTATGATGAATATGAATAGTGTATTTTCAAAAGTACTAAATATTTGATTAGTTTATTTCGATTTCGGTTTCCGAAAAACTGTAAACAAAAAATACGATACGATTTTACATAATTTTTGTTTTTAACAAATGAATTGTTCCCACTTCTGTATGTTGTGATACATTTGAAATTTACACCATCGTACTTTTGAAAATATATTCTTCAAATTATCTCGAACAAATTTTTAGTGGAGAAAAACCGAAGACAATAGGAGTGACATAGAAGTCTTTACAATGATGACTGTTTAGAAAATAAATACATTATTTAATTAGTTAAAATAAATTACTTATTGTTTTGTGTTGTTGAAACCCTTTCTAAATAAATTTTAAGTATTAAGGAAATTGTTATTTATTAAAGTACTCCTAATAGTTTACTCATTATTTTATCGAATGTCTGACTATAAACTTCGTAAATATTAAAAACTATAAAAATAAAAATAACAAATTCATTCTCACTTTAATTGAATATACTTATAAAAATTTATTTTAAAGCTGCCGGTTTCCGTCCGACACTGGTAGAAACGGTCCACCCATCTGCGCGAACCACTACGTCACATTCCCAAACTTAAGTTTGTCGGACTCTACCATCGATTGGGAGCAGTAAATCGGTTATGGTCGTTATTGAGCTGTGTAGCAAGTATTCCATGTCTGGAGTTGCATAAAGATAAGTGTCTCTAAGTCATTCGTATATACTGTACTTTTGGTTAAACAACGTAAATACTTTAACGTCAGTGTTAGTAACTAATCTATTTGAAGTTTTAAATTTTTCTTCTTTAGTTCGCATCGACGATAAAGATTTAAATCAACTTTATCTTTTAATTTCACTTTATATTTACCATTTTATTCATATAATTGAATTAATACATTACACATCAGCATTACATTACATTACATTGTTTTGCATTAGCGAATGCATGTAAAGAGGTACAAGTACTTAACGACCTAACCATTGGTATTTAAATAAAAAACTTTTATTAATCTAATTATGTGTTGTTTTCATGGTACAACCGTGTATACTCTCAGTTACTAGCACTCAAAATTTTCAGTCTGTATCTTGTTAAAGTTTAATATAAAATCGCTTAAATTTTCTGTTTGTATATTGCAAAATTTTTAAATTTAAAACAAAAACAGCTGTATAAAAAAAAAAGAGTATATCATATATTTTACATTTTCTATACAATATATATTATATAATCAAGCCATTTGTTTTACATTTTTCTATAATAAAACCACATATTCTACATATTGCGTTTTAGTTTACCTACACCTGGTATCTCTCAACTACTTGGGGTTTAAATAGTTTTTAGGATTAAATCATACTTTTATCATTTATCACTATACTTTCTAGCACTTCCACTGTAATATTAACGGAGTAGAAGTTCCAACAGACCTTTACTCTTGGCACCCATCCTTTTTTTGTTACCAACTCCTTTCCTCTTTAGTGATCTTCGGTTTCTTATCTGTTGTTTCTTTATCATTATCTATTTTCTTCTAACACGGCACGACAAGCCACTCATCTCCATTCCCTGAATATTTATGTCTCATCCTATTATTGTTCTGTATCTATCTCTCACTCACTAAATTTTAGTTATCCAGCTTGATCATCCGGTCACTTAAATTCCCTTCCAATTAATATCACTTGCCTCTAATTTCTCCCCATTTTCTTTATCTCTCGTTTGATCAAATTATTATTAGGGTTTTTATTTTTCTTTCTTTCTTCTTTTTTCTCCTTTCGCCAATCCAGTCTTTTATCTTTATTAACAAAAATAACCTTATAACCCCAAGTTATAAGGTTATATGTTATAACTCGAAATATTTCAAAAACTAGATAGTCCGATCTAGAATAAAAATGCGAGAAATTGTTGAAGGAGAAAATATGTTAAATGAACAATTACAAGAATCCCAAGATGCTTTAAACGAATAACAGATTCAAACTCAGTGTCAGCGTAAAGAAAAAGAGAATGTAACAGAGAAAGTAAGTCTGCAGATAATCACAACAGGAAGAAAATAATGAACAAACTTCCCTAGAAACTTTAAAATGAGTCCATAGAAATATATTGACTTGAAAGTCGTACTACAATAGCTTAAAAATAGAGTACGAGCAGGAAGTAACCAAATATAGTGGAACTATAAAGGCGTACCGTGCTCAGTGGGAATTTTTGTGTATTTCCAATGGTCGGTTATATCGTAAGTGGAAAAGTCCCGATGAAATATATACTACTCTTATTCCATAATTCTTTTCAACAAAGCTGTATGCCAACTGATTCTTGTTTATCCGAACTTTCTATAATTGCTTTACTTTTCTTTATTTTGTGTAGTGCTTAATTTTCTTGTATGTTATTTTGGTGACTATTTCTGTTACTATCTTCTTTAGTTTTACTGGTTTTTTACCAAATTTACTTTTTTAGTGTAAGCAAGCAATTTAGATAAATCCAGCCTGAGAGACTTATCCACTAGACAAGCGTTAGTAGCTTTATTCCTGCTACCTTCTTGTGACTTATCCGCGAATCTGAATTTCTTGCTCGGACCTCAAGTCTCGCTCCGGACTACGCCTAGTTCGGTCACTTGGTTCTCGAGAGTTTGTGCCCTCCGTGTTCGGTTTTTTTGTTGGCTTTCGCCTATTTCTGTTAATATTATTTTATTCATTTGATGACTGAAGCCGCTTTTTGTATTTTTTATAGTTTTTTCCAAGGATGTCCTGAAAAAAGTATCATTAGTTAAGAGCCTACATAGTGATCGTGAATGTTTTTGCGTTGATAGGGCTACAAACTGTCTCTCTGATTTTGTTTATTTACTTTCTCTCGGGTACATATTTATGCTTTGGACGTTTGTGCTTCCATCGACGGAATGCATCATATATCATTATTTGTCACAGTGTCGGACTTAGATGATTCTCCAGTGCCGCGAATTTTGTTCTTGCTTTTTTATCATCATATTAGTCACCCTTACTTGTTATAGTTCTCTAAACAAAACGTTTAGGTACGTATCTTGGTACGTTGACTGCTTTTCTTAGGCTGGTATTTTTTTACAGTTATTTTACAGAAATGTCCCCTTGCGAGAGATGCGTATGTCAATATGGGAATATGATCCTGTTTACTTATCTTATCTTTGTTTTCGTTCTTAATTTGCTTTTTCTACCTGTGGGACCATTGACTACGTATGGACGCTTTTGCTTTATTTTCATTTTGTAGTTTGGCGTCTACATGTTTTTTAAAGTTAGTCCTTTATGCATTACGACTTCCAGTTATAAAACATCAGCAGTGTATAGTGTATACAGTAGTAGTGACAGGACCACATGCTGCTCTGGCGTAAAATTTGCCTTTTCTTAATTTTTCTGTGGATTTCATCACAAGGGACATTTAAAAAAAAACTGTCTATTTTGAAGAATCTGTTTTTAATTCACTAATCGATTTATCTTTGTCAGTCGGATTCCAGGTGCCGCCCTACCTTATTGGAGTAATTCACTATCAGACAGATTCTCATTATTAACCCCATATTTAAGTATTATCCCATACGAAGCACTGCAAGTATTCCGACGTTCAAAGACCGTTGGCTTCTCTACTGGAACTTATCTAGAAAGCAATCTCTAAGAAAAATCAATAAAAATTAATTTCCCTTGATTTAGTTACGATGAATCACGATGTTGCCTCCCTGAAATTGTCTTGTAAAGTCTCGACTTCTTATCTCTGCATGTCGGTGTCTTACTTATCGACAAGATCTAATAAGATCTGCTTTGATAAGTAACTCACAACGATCCTCGTCATGACCGCTCAGCTCCGTGTATAGCAATACCCTTACTTTTTTAATATATACATATGGAAATTTCTTATGGAAGTGCGAAGTTCAATACCTAATACAATAAGTAAGTCTTAAATTACAATACGTAAGTCGTTAACTTTCGAATTGCACATGCTTTTTTAAAGCAATAAAATTTAATGAATATCATCAACTTTTACATATTATAACTTATGTTATTACTAAAATATTGAAACCTTGTAATAATTAAACAAAGCTGACACTCAAGCATATAAAACTTTTAAATGCATTACCTGTCTCGAACCACTTGTAAAGAAAATTCATCCTGGCTATAAAGTCATTTACATAGTTTGGAAGATTCTTTAAACTAGGATAGGAAACACTAACCCATTTTGCGGGTATTTTTGCCATTAACAATGAAGACGAAAACGTTTCTGTTTGCGGTGACATAGCCACAAGTCCTGTAATCAATAAACATAATACAAATAGAATTAATATTTTACACTTACATTCACAATGTTAATCTACAATTTACATTTTTTGTACATTTTGTACATATAATCTACATTTTGTAATACTTGACCTTAACGTTAAATTATTTTAATGTTGATAACCAGTTCATTTGCATATATGTTTGCAGAGATGCTAGGTTAATTAGAGACGACTAAAGAAGCAAATAAAATATTTAGCATTTCTAGGTTTTTGTGGTAATTTCCTTACACTAGAATTATATGGATCAGATGTAATGATCAAATGATTAAACTGTCCTCTATTGTATGTTCTCTTGAACGTCTTGGCAAGAAATCTGTACGAAATATTTTATTATCTTTATTTCTTGCTTTCTGAGCTTCCAGATACTTGTTCAATTGGTAAAAAAACATAATCTATAATTTTTGGACCATGCATTAATATTTTATGGACTGAAGACAGCATGTTATACCATGTATACAATTCTACAAATTTCTACGCAGTTTCTAAATCATATACTCGAAAATTGTCATGGTTAATATTATTAACCACTTAAAACTGCTTACAAAATTATACAAAACCGAGTAATTAACGATTTAGAGAGGCCTCTGATAGTAGCTGATATACTCGAGTTTTTAAAAAATCGTCGAGCTTTATTTCCGTCGTTAGTGCTTCCATAAAGAGGCTTTGGGAGATCGACAATTGCGACGAAATTCCGTTTGAATCATTCTTTTACCTTCTTCCATAATCTTTATCTCCTCTTTAGTACGTGCTCGCCATTTCTTAATTTTAACACTATATGCATATATAAATGCAAGCATCATTCAAAAAAACCTAAACAGGTGAGCAATGATGAAATTCCAAATCGAAGATTATGTTCAGTATTCTCTTTTTCTTTTTACAAAATATTTATATTCTTGAAATCATTGGATGTAGCTCCATACAAAAAAAAACAACGTAAAGTAGAGTTTTTGTATCTGTCACTACATTGAAAACTGTCTATTATCGTACACGTTAAATTTTATTCCAAATTCGCAAATCACCATTTCATGTATTTTTGTTATATAACGAAAAAACAGCACTACCTATTATTCAATGTCATTAACTCTGATTGTCGACTCAACATTTTCAAGTAGAAACTGTAGTTTTATCGGTCTAAAAAACGTGGAGATGGTGAAGCAGGGTTTTTCCAAGCAACAATTTGATTTGAAACATTACTGCTGATTTGCCATCCTCCTTAAACTTCTGCTTGTACATACTTGGTCCAGCACTCCTGTCATAATCTTACTTAAATATAATATGCATATTTTTTAACATTTTACACATAAAAAGAGTCCAAAACTTATCTTTAAAGAAGTAAAAGACGTGCTACTATATGATCTAATAAAGCCTACAATTTAACATCCGCTCGACGTTCTGTAATTGTAATGTTGCAACTTTCTGTAATTGTAACGTTATTATAAGATGAATGCAATTTGCAATTGTTTTCTTTAGTTACTTTTCTTATTTCTAGATAGGTACGTTTCGAAAATTTATATTCGACTAAAACCAAAAGTGCTATATCGTCAGACATTGTTTTTTTCAACTTTTGATGTAAATACTGTTCTATATTTAAACGCTCTTTTGGAAATAGTCAACGTTAACTTTTGAAGCATCTGAGTGTCCTGATGAATGCAGATTCATTTGGGTAGCATGTGCCAGTTCTTCAGTCGTATTGGATGGGCAAGTTCTGCAATTTTTCTACATTTAGATTGCGTTGATTATAAAACTTCGTCGCCATCAATCATAATTTTTATTAAATCAGATTACCGATTATTATATTTTTCTTAAATCTCTCCTCTGTTCTGTTCTCCTCTGTATCTTTATGTATGAGAATATATCAGCCCATTTTTCTGTCAATTTAGTTTCCAAAATTTCGCAAAATGGTTTTGCATTATATTATATTTAAATAATTTTAATTTCGTGAATTTAATTACGTTTCTATTTGATACTGCAATAAAACTTTGTATTTAGTTTATCAGTTACATAATTTGGTATATTACTTTATTATTAATCGTTTTACACACAGTAGAGTTTCAACATAATATAATTTTCAATATGATAAGGACGCATTTCTCAAAAATGCCTGGAGCAGATAATATACAGTATGTTTCAAAAACGTATGTCATTAAATTAAATCACGCATTCCGGGGACAAAAATAAATTGATTAAATCTAACTTACCTTAGAACAAAAGTGAACACAAAAGTTACTAAATAAAAATTATTTTTTTGCATTATCTCCTAAACTACTTGACATTTTGTAATAAAAAAAGGGACATGTTCTGAAAGCATTTTTCACAGAAAAGAAACAGTAAAAAAATTTTAAGGGGGGTGTGTAGCCCTAAATCCCTCAAAATTTTAAGTACGTTTAAATTAAATAAATTTTGTGGCATAATTAGTTTAACACATTATTTTAAAAAAAAATTTGCCTCATCACTTTTTTCAAAAAACAGTTTTTATTGAGTTACGGCCCTTTTCGTTAACCTTAAAAAAATTACTTGCAACTAAATAAATGGCTTAAATGAATTAACAAGTACAAAAAATGTCTTTAACCTCTATAAATATGATATTACAATAAATGTTCAAAATGACCCCCATTTTCTTCAATATACATTCGGTATCGGTCTAATAAGGAAAACCTAATGCGCTGAAAAATCATATTTTTGTGACGAAATTGATTTGCAGCTTCAATTATTCTAACCCTTAATTGTTGTTCGTCAACTATTGTTACAGAATACACTTCTCTTTCATAACCACCCAAAAGCAAAAGTCTATGGGGTTAAGACCTGGGCTTCTGGGTATAAAAACCTGTAAAGGTATTCCCGGAATTTATTACTGTAATGCGGTAAAGCACCATCTTGTAGAATGGTATCTTCCAAATACTCTTGTAAATCGTTTTCCAAGAACAGCAAATAATTATCACCATTTAAATTGTTGGGAAGAAATACTGGATCAATTAGATTGTTATCTACAATTCCTGCCAAACATTAATATTGAAAGTCCTTTGGTGATGAGTCGTTTTTTTTTTGGCGTGATGATTTTCGTCGGCCCAAATGTGCTCGTTATGATGGTTTGTTATTTCATTTCTACTGAAGGTAGCCTCATCGGTAAACAAAATATTTATAATAAAATTAACATTTCGAGTGTTTTCCATTAACAACCAATCGCAAAATCCAATCCTCTTAGGATACTCTTCAACCAATAACTCTTGAACCATTGTTAAGTGGTAGGGTTTAAGTAGCTGATCCTTCAAACGCCGCCGAACCCTTACGTGAGGAACATTTAGGTGAGCAGCTATTACCCTGTGTACTTGTTCCAGGGACTTTTTCAATGATTTCTAAAATGTCTTCATCAGTTGCATCCATTATTTGACGACCACTATTGCCAGCAACTTGCGATTGGAATGTACCCGTTTCCCGTAAACGACGATCAATGGTCAGAAATAATCGTCTATCGGGTGTATTTCGATTGGGGTATTTTACTGCATAACGCCTTGCGGCTGCTACACTATTTCCTTGACATTCACCTAAAATATTCCCAATAGTTTATTGAAATTATAATTTATTCATATCCAACTTAACCAAGTTAAATGCATATCTGCCATTTCCTGACACGTGTAGGCCATTGTAATGTTGAGCAGTTTAGGAGATAATGAAAAAAAAACAATTTGTATTTTGTAACTTCAAAGGACTGTAACTTTTTTTTGTATACACTTTTGTACAAAGGTAAGTTGGATTCAATCAATTTAACTTTTTGTCAAATAACTTGAAAAACTACAATTAAATTTAATGTGGTTTGGGCTTGCACCCAAATGCACAGAAATTGTTACGGGCCGCAAAAACTTCTACTGCAATAAACAGTAACTGACAAAATTTTGGAAACATTTATTTCAATAATAAATATTTTAATAATAATTAAATATTAAATTATTGTTAAACAATATATAATTAATTTTTAAAGTCAGATTTTTTTATTAAAAAAAATATGCAATATATTATAACTTCCAATATATTATTTATGTATTTGTAAAATTTTTTGTTCCATTTTGTTATCAAAGAAAGTAGTTTTTACTTTATTTTCGAGGGCTCCAAAGGGATAGAGATGCAAGGTTAATGGATGATACTTAAATTCGTGCATTTATTGACATTTTGTTCTTGATTGGGATATTTAGAAGTTCAAGAAAAAATGTTAAAAAATCTGGAACAATTCAAAAATAATGGTATTAAAACGTGCTACCCTGAGATGAGCAAAAGTCGGTTTAAATTGCAAATAAAGTGAGTGAGATTTAATGATATCAAAAAAAAATGAAAGAAAGGAAATAAATAAACAAGCACTAATAAGAAAAGTCTTTGAAATATTTGGAGCAAATTTCCAAAAAAAAATTTAGTGTAGGTAAGTGAATTCTTGACTATAGACGAATTGGTTTTAAGAGCTCGCTGCAGTTTTAAACAATAAGTAATAAGTAATACTGTCAGATGTAGATTCAAAATGTGTACATTATTAGAATCTAAAGACCTTGCACAAATTTAATCTCGAAATCTACGTTGGACCGTAGGTCCAACGAGACACAAACAGACGAGAAAGACCATATAAGCTGAGTCATTCTTCGGAAGATATATTTCTGAGGTAAGTACCTACACTCTATAGATGAAACAAAATGCAACATACCTGGGTAAAATTGGTTTACCAGTGTGCCACTAACAAAAAAACTATTTGAAGAGCAAGAGGTGTTAAGAGGATTCTAAGTTATTTAAAACATACTAAATCTTTATGTTTACTATACGATAATATTAATTTAAATTTAACTGGATTTGATGATTCATATTTCGCAAGTAGTATTAACCGTAGAAGGTCATATACTGGTGTTGTACTTCAATTAGTAAGTAGTGCTGTTTATGGAGGTGTAAGAAACAAACTATAGGAGATTCACATGATATAAGGATACCAGATATG